TCTTACCTCAGATGTCTGAACAGAACCAGGCAAATCACTAGCAGCTTCCTAGGAGCTCCCAGGTCTTTCGCTGGGGCTCAGAAGGGTAGCTACTCACGCAGATGTGCTATCAAGTGAGCTTAAAACCTCCAACCTTCCAGTGCCCTTTTCATGCTTCTGGTGTGCACACTAACAGGTGAGACACTAGCCAGGTGACCTCCAGTACATGCCCCTTCTCCCCAGAATGGGAGAGGTAAGCAGGGGCAGATGTCCTGGGTTGGGCAAGGAGAGGGCATCTACAGGCTCAGGCTCAAAGTTCATTTATTGATATGTTGGACACAATAAAACCACAATTGCTATTATCAAAAAGTTTCCTCCCCTCCCCTTTTTTTCTTGTTCTCCCATTGGAAATACCTTTCAAAAAAAGATACAGGTGGACACTGGCAAAGTCCCATATTGTGGGATGAGGGGACAGTGCTGGGGTCGGGTGGATAGGATTTGACACTGACTGGCAGCCCAGAAGTGGGTCTGTGAGAATATCAGACTACATCCCAGCATTCAGCTTTACAGTGGGAGGGGTGCTTGGGAAGAAGGAAAGCTGAACTTAGTGCTGAGGACCAGTCTGAGGTGGGGAACTATTCATGTTGGAGCCCTGGGGGTGGGGTGGGGCAGATTTGGTGTTAGCTGAATCCATAGTCCAAGGGGGACCCAGTGTCCCCCAGAGCTGGGGTCCAGAAGTCAGAAGGGAAAGCTGTATGGGATGGCTCACTTGAGTCTGGACACACAGTTCCACCTTGACCTACTCTTATCCTAGCCTCATCTGAAAGTAGGTGGGCCTGTCCTGGCTCTACTCCACCCTAGCACTGCTTGATCCAGAGTATTTGGAGTTCTTTCTCCTCTGTGGTTCTCTACCACATCCCAGAGTCACCTTGTCATGAAAGCCTTGAACTCTCCAGCTTGAGACCCCATCCCTATTTCCAGTGATTTCTCCAAAGCATGGGGTAGAGGTCAGAGACTTGTCCGCAGGCCAGGCGAGGCTGCTTATGGGAGCTCCGATGTCCAGAGCCTGGCCATGTGGGTATAGGTCTCGGGGAAATGACAGCACCACGAGGCTGGGGTTCTGCATAGATCTTTGGGATTTATCAGGCTGGGAAATGCAGGCGAGCCTAGGACTAGCCTCGGAAGGACCTGAAAAGGAGGGTGAGGGCTGGACGGACACCTGGTGAATCCCAGTCCAGATGGAGCAAAGGTAGCTGCCCTTAACTAGCCCAGTTCTTCCTAGACTGGGCAGGACCCCCCTCCCCCAAGTTGTAAAAGGCAGTCCTGTGGGATGCAGGAAACGGAGGTGTCTTGGGGGAGACAGTAAGTGGCTGTTTGGGAATCAGCCTTGGCCTCCTCAGTAGGACTAATAGGGGGCAAAGACAATGGGTCCCGTGGCAGGGCGGATGGCTCCTGCTGGAGTGCGAAACAGAGCTGGGCCCAGGATGGGAGCTGGGAAGAGGGTAGCGGCTGCTGTGGGGGCAGGCCGGAGGGCCAGGGGTCCTGGCAGGGTACAGATGGCAGTGGCAGCAGTGGGCAGTGGGCTGGGCAGGAAGCGGGCTGCCAGCGTCTTGGTGAGTTGCTTCTGCAAGGCCAGTTTAGACTACAAAGAAACAAGAGAGGAGTGATGGGCCTCTGACCCCCAAAGAGCTCACCCCCTGTCTGGGCCCCATTTTGCGGGCTTTTTGCCTCATGGAGCGTGCTTTTTAGAGTTCCAAACCTAAATCCTCCCTTCCCACTCCCAAATAGTCATTCCAAAGGGCTTTCTCCACCACCTGTCTTCCTGCCCAGAGGGAGGACAACCCCAGGATGGGAGAAGAGAGGAGGCTGTGGGGGATGGGGTAGAGATGGTCTCTAGGAGATGCACGCCCACCCCTCACTCTTGCCTCAAAGGTTACAATCCCAGCCCACCTCCCCGGAAATTCCTGTGGGCAGATCCCTGGATGGCCAAAACCCAACCCTAGCTCTCCCCCTGCTCAGATAGCCTCAGAGCGAGGTGGCCTCCTTCCTGCCATACCACAAAGCCCCCCAGCTGGCCCTCCCTTCCACCCACTCTCTCCCTCCTGACCCAGGTCCCAGCTCTGTTGCCTGGAGACAGATACCTTGAGGATACTCACAGCCAGCGCTGCGTGCTTCTGCAGCTTGCTGTGCTGGCTGGAGGGCTTTGGGGGCTTCCCAGCCAAGCGGTCTTTATGCCTCCTGCTGCTCATGTGCTAGTGGACAGATGCAAAGACTATGAAAAAATAAGGAAGCCCAAGGACCCCAAAACTACTCCATTACCTTCGACTGCCTGACCTTCCACTACCTGCAACCACACTTTGAATACACAGGTACTGGGAACTCACCACGGTGGCCCTGGGAGCGAGGCAGGCTTGGCGTCAAGGAGCCCACCCCAGCTCCTTAGCCCTCCCTGCGACTCTGCCCGCTTCTGCGGGTGCCCTCCTGCCTTGCTTGCCCACCCTCTCACCAGCTCCACCCCCAATCAAAGACTCCTTTCTCCCACCTGCTTGAGCTGGGTCTCTGAATTGACCTGGAGCTGACAGAGAGCACAGTGGAAAGGGGGACTGGGGCCCTGCCGGCCACCCTGACCCCCTGTCACTCTCTTGGCCTTGTGTCCAGCCCCTCCCCGGGATACTGGGCGGCCCCGGCCCTTTCGGGGGGTCCCTCGTTGACCTTCTACCATCCACCGGTGCTTGGCTCCTGGAGGAAATAAGGAAGAAGACAGTCTGTCAGTACCACAGGGGGTCTCAAGGACCACGGGGACCCCCTCCAAACCAGGTTAGCTGGGCTGTCCCCTGAAGCCTCCAGGCTACTCAGCACAAACTTTGCCCTCCAGCCTCCTACACTTCACCTCTTGGTGTCTCTGGCTTCGTGCCAGGCACCCCCAAAGAAAGCTTTGTGGGCAACTGGTCAGGTTCCCTTCTGCTCTGATCCCAACCCCTCCTGATCTTTTGTTTTTTAAAAATATTTATTTACTTTTAGTTACAGGTAGACACAATATCTTCATTTCCCTCCTGATCTGTTCTAAGGAGAGATGGAGGAAATGGGAGGAGGTGCCTCCTGTCTTCTGGAGTCTGGAGTAACTTCAGAGATTGTGACCTTCAATTCTTGCTGCCTCAGACTTCTCTTCCCAGTTATCCCTCCCCAGGGATTAGCAGGAGGACCCAGAAATGCCTGCCCAGTAACAGCTGAGCACAGTACTTTAGTCACCCGGAGCTGGAAGAGAGTGCCCAGAAGCTCAAGCCTGCCCACACCTGGTGAGGCTCAGCCTTCCAGCCTTCCCCAACTCCAGCTCCCTGGGGGCACTGACCTGTGTTGTGAGCTTGAAGCTGGGAGGTCGAGTTCACTGTCACCTTACATGTGGGACAGTAGAGGCGCCCCTTTTCGCTCCTGCCTTCCCCACTCACTCCACTTCCCACAGCTGCCGCCACCGGCTCAGGCCCTGGTGCCTCTCTGCCAGGCTCTGGGGAGCAGGGTGGGCAGGAGGAGGAAGAAGAAGAAGAGGCAGCATCCAAAAGGTCTGAGGGGGCTGGTTCCCTGGATGGGGGGTCCGGGGTCAATGGCTGCTGGAGTAGAGGGCCTGCAGGAACTGCTGGGGAGAAGGGAGGCATGGGTGAGAGTAGAGATCCAAGATGATTCTACAGCCCACGATTCTTAGCACTAACAATGAAGATGGTAGGGTAGGGTGGAAGGGTCCCTGGTGCAGGGATGACCAGCACTGAATTCCAGGCCCCACTCTACCACCAATTCACTAGCCAGACCTGGGCCTCAGTTTCCCCATCTGAAATCAGAAAGTTGAACAAAGTGGTCTTAGGAAGCCGCACAACCCTGATACTCAACATTGATTTGCTAATGTTAAACAGAAGTCACCAGAAAGATGTGCTAGAATGTTCATTGAGCACTATTCATAATAGCATAAAACTGGAAACTATCCAGGTGTCCATCAAACAGAAGGATTGTGATATATTCATGCAGTGGAGTACTATGTAATGAAGAAAAAGAAAATACACCTATACACAACACCTCATAGACATGATGAATGTTGGTGAATGTTCATGAGATGAACAAAAGCAAGTCAGACACAGAAACCTGTGTACTGGTATGATCCACCCAAACCAGGTGAAACTAATTTATGATGAGAAAAGCCAAGATCAGAGTTACTCCAGAGTATAGCTGATTGAACAGTTTCCCCAAAAAATTCATATATGTATGGTCTTATTTGAAAATAGTCTTTGCAGATATAATTAGTTAAGATGAGGTCATGCTGGATTAGGGCAGGATTTATCCAATGACTGGTGACCTTATAAGAAGATCACGTGAGAAGACACAGAGACATGGGAGGCAACGTGATGTAAAGACAGGCAGAGACTGGAGACTGGAGTGATGAGTCTAGGGGCCAAGGACTGCCAGCAACAAACAGAAGAGAGACAGAGAACAGTTCTCCCTCTGAGCCTGCGTAAAGGAACCAACACCTGAATTTTGGACTTCTGACCTCTAGAGATGTGGGAAAATAAAATGCTACTGTTTCCAGCCACCCAATTTGTAGTCATTTGTTACAGTGGCCCAGGAACTAATACAGAAAGATGGTGACCAGGAGGAGGCCTAAGGCAGGCTCCTGGGGATCTGGTCACATGTTTCCTGAGCTAAGTATGCTCAGATGGGAAGTTCACCAGGCTGCAGCCCATGTGCCTTAGACTCTGTGTACGGAATACTCCAACACAAGAGAGATAATAAGCTGCAGAAATCTCTGAAACTCTGGTCAGAAGCTAGATCTGGAGTTAGGGCAGGAAGAGAAGAGTTCAGGACTGACCTTTGTTCTGTAGATCTCCAGGTGCTCCACTGGCCAGAGTAGGGGTTGGGGACACCGCCACAGCATCCTGTGTCAGGCTTTGTGGCCTCTGCTTGCTCTTAGCAGCTTCAACAGCCTTGAGTTTTCTGGCATGCTTGTGGCCTTTATAATGTGCTTCAGCCTGGTTCTGGAGAGGGGAGGTCCTGGGGTCATAATTCCTTGCCTGGTCCACATGTCCCACCCATGACTGAAGCTGAGCAGAGGGACACGTCAAAGGGGATGCAGGGTTCAGGTCACACGAAGTGCACTCTTGTCATTACATCACAGCACATAGATGACCCTGATGTTTACAGAATGTTTTTTCACACAGGAGCTCCAAGGCAAGTGGCCTCTACCTTCAAATTCTGACTCAACCACTTAAGAGCTGTTCATCTTTGAGCAAGTCACATAAGAGCTGTTCATCTTTGAGCAAGTCACATCGTCTCTCTGAGCCTGAGTCTCCTCACCCATAAACTTTGTGATGATAATGCCAACCTCACAGGGCCTAGTACATACAGTTGCTGCTCAGTAAATGTTCATTATCAAGTTTATAGATGACAGCTGGATGTGATGGTACACACCTGTAATCCAAGCCACTTAGGAGACTGAGGTAGGAGGATAGAGAGTTGGAGGTTAGCATGGGCAACTAGTGAGACCCTGTCTTAAATTTTTTTAAAAAGCGGGGAAATGTGTATCATACCATGCACGAGGCTCTGGGTTTGAACACTAGCATCCCCAAAAAAGTTTCTAGATGCACGCATGAAGACAACAGGGTAGTCATCATATGTGGGGGTCATGTGCCCTGAAACATTCACTCCTTTGTTCATGTTTTCACCAAATGGCTGCTGAGCATTTGCTCTTTGTCAGGCACTGTGCCAGGGAGTAGCATGAGGAAGACATGGTCCCTCCCTCAGAGCAAGTTCTCTGTCCATCTCTTGGCAGGCCTCATATGACCTGATAGACTGGAGGGACCCTCAGATCTGGGCTGTCAGTGTCTTCTCTGCTTCAGCCAGGGATCCCTGCTTATTGCTCCCAGCCCACCTCCCTCAAAGGTGAGAAAGAGGCCTTCTCAGCGCCCCACAGACTCTTGCATGACAGCAGTTCTGACATCCAACCTAAACCCCAGCATTGCCTGGACAAGAGGTAAACCTTTCTGAGGAGGCCAGAATGAGGCCCCTGCTCTCCCCAGGGGTAGTTATAGTAAAAAGTATGCAGCCTTGGGGTTGGCTAGGCCTGGGTTCAAATCCCAGCTTTGCTATTTACCAGCTGTGTGGCCTCAGGCAAGTCACTTAATCTCTCTAGGCTCAGTTTCCTCATCTGAAAAGTGTGGATGATAATAGTGCCTCTATTTCTTTCACAGCTGTATCATTAGAACCCGTCAAGATGATGGGCATGAACACATTCTATAAACTCTGAGGTGCTTTAACACCTCAGCTCCAGACCAGGAGCTTACAGGGACCCAGAGTGGGTAAGGGCAGTCTTCTCTCTTGCAGAAGGATCCAGAACATAGGAAAGTGGCAAAGGGTGGGGGGGATGGAATCCCAGTTGTCTAGAGGTAGGCAGCAGAGGGTTATGGAAAGAGGCAGGAGAGAGGAGAGGATGGGACAGTTGATGTATCAGAACTGTCTCTTCTGCATCCAGGGCTGGAAAATAAGGAGCACAGCCCCTGAGCTCTGGAAGGACCCCAGAAGGAAGCCCAGTCTCCAGCCCCCTCCTTGCCCAGCCCCCTCCCAGGAGTTCCCATGAATCCCTCTCACCGCTGAGTTGAACCTCAGGTGACAGATGTTACAGGAAATGAAGAGCTTCTTCTTCAGAGGGGAGGGGACCCCAAATGTGTGGCTGATGACAGCTTTCTGGACTGGGTCCATCTGTGAGGGGGATGGGAGGGCACAGTAACTCTGGGGTTGATTCAGAAAGGACAGTACCAAATGCAGAAAACTAAAGACCACTGAGAAGTCAGCCTCTAGGAAGAACTTTCCTATCCTGTGGATGTTAGACATAGACAAGAGACAGCGTCTTCCCTGGCTGACTTACTTGTCAGCCTGGACTTGTTTGGAGGCAAGGGGATGGCCAGGGTAACCCAATGATTTTGAGAACTAGAACCATGGGCTAATGAACATCTTGGCATCTCTTGTTGTCCCTTTGGTCTCTGTTTTGTTGTTTTACAAGAATCATAACTATTGGGACAAAAAATTGGGTGCAGAAGGAGGCTGATTCAGAGTGGGGTAGGGAGGGGGAGCGTGGGAGGAATGGGCGACCTCTAGATAGGGCAGAGGGGTGGGAGAGGAAGGGAGGTGGCGTGGGGTTAGAAATCATGGAGGAATGTGATGATCATTATTATCCAAAATACACATATGAAGACACGAGTTGGTGTGAATATACTTTGTATACAACCAGAGATATGAAAAATTGTACTCTACATGTATAATATGAATTATAATGCATTCTGTTGTCATATATAAAATTTTTAAAAAATAATTTAAAAAAAAAAAAGAAGAATTGGGGGCAGGAAGAGGCAAGGAAGGGACAAAGAATCCTCCTGTTGGGATTTTCCCTCCTCTAACCCAGCCTGTGTGCTCGGACCTGGGAAGACGAGCCCTACTTTTGTTTTGGCATTTTGGGGGACTGAACCCAAGGGCACTCTACCACTAAGCTACATTCCTAACCCTTTTTATTTTTTATTTTGAGACAGGATCTTGCTAAGTTGCCCAGGTTGGCCATAAACTTGGGCTCCTCCTGCCTCAGCCTCCAGGAGACCCTTGGATTACAGGCATGCGCCAGCAGGGACTAGTCCTGTCTTCTCAGTTCTACCTGCAACTAGGCCTAAGGCTCTGATAGCTTGTCAGGAGTCTGAAAACTATGGCCAGGAAGGTGGTGACCAGGGAGAGAAGCAACTGGAGGCCTGAGGGTTCCCAGAGCAGTCTCATTTCCTTGGAATATTAACTTAGGTGTTCTCTTTATTTTGCTTATTTTAAATAATTTTTTTTCCTCTATTAAACCAAGCTTTTATGTTTCTTTTTCTCAGGGGCTTAGTTATTTGACCAAAAGCAGAAGTTCTCTGGTTTTGTCAAGAGGAACTTTCCAAGCCTTCCCACAGGAAGAGCACAGAGGCTTTGAGAGAGCTGGGTGGGTTGAGACCTCAGAGGAAATGGCCTACAGGGCTCTCAGCAAGGACAACAATGATTGTGCCCGCCCTTAAGAGTCAATGAGCAGGTCAGTGAGGTACAGTGAGGAGTCTGGTCCAGAGGCCTGTCTCCAAAAGTCCTTGACTCCTTAGGATCTCTGTACCACCCTAGAGAGCAGGAGGAAGGAGGCTCCTAAAGGTGACGGAGATGGAATTAGAACCGTTCAGATACGCAGGCATACACATTAATCACAATTACCCAGGCACAAAGAGTTGCTCACACACACACAGGACACCAACATACAAACTGCATCCACACACAACACACAAAGATCTACAAAGACACAAACTACAATAGAAAAGCACACTGACTACACAGAGACACGTGACATATCCACAGGCGCTGCACCAAAAACTCAAGGGAGACCTACCATCTCCAGGCAGTAGTGATGGCAAGATAGGGGTGACACCATCTTGTTCCCTAATCTCTACTGAGCCCAGGAGTCCCTATTCAGGGGGCTCCTAGCCACTGTAGGGGATGTTGCAGGAAAATGAGCTCCTGGTTAGACCCAGATGCTGAGGCTGGCCTCTAAGCCACCCTCCCTGCCCACCTCCCCAGCTGGCCGCACGCACCCACCCGCCAACCCAACCCGTACCGTGCTGAAGTTGGGGAAGAGACTGAGCGGGGCGGTGCCATTGAAGTGGAAGGCGAGCAAGTGCTTGAAGTCCAGCGGGGGCTGCAGAGGCCGAGTGGGCAGGGGCAAGGAGGCCAGCAGGGGGCTGGGGGCACTGGAGGCTGGGCCTGCTGCAGGAGGAAGAAGGGCAGGGTCTGAAATGGGGAACCACAGGGCTCTTTCCTACCTCTGTAGCCAGAACAAAAGGCCAATGGTCTTGGACGTGGAGCCAGGGCAGAAACTTGTTTCTTCACAAAGTAGCATCAGCCAAGCAGACAGAAATCATAGGCCCCATTGGTGGGCTCTCACAGGTGGACAAGCAGAGGCAGGAAGTCCACAGCTGAAGGTTCCCAGCCCAGAAGGATGACCCTCCCACACTCATAGACAAAAGCAGCATAATGGTCCAAATGCACTCCCCAGGGGAGGTCAGTCAAGGCAGAGGACAGAAGAGATAGGGCTGGCCCCTGACATACATACCACCATGAAGACTGCGAAATGTGCTGGGTTTCCACTTTATTGCAAATGAAGCCCAAATTCAGGGGGCTTGGGAAAAGGCCAGCCCCCTTCCCTCTCACTCTCTAGCTGTCCCCTCCCTCTATCCATATCCCACACCATTCACAGGAAGGGCTAACAAAAGGGAATGGAAAATCCATCAGTATAAGGGATGTGTTCCTCAGCCCTGGTGAGGTCCCAACAATATTTCCCTGGAGGCAAAAAGTAAAATAAAAACCCTAAGCATCCTGGGTCAGGCCAGAGGCCAGCCCTTAGGGGCAGCAGGTACAGCAGCACCACGTTCTGCAATCTTTGGTCTAAAAGGTCTGAGGCAAGGGCAAAAGAGAGCCAGGAATTTGAACAACCAGATTTTAAGTAAATTAGAAATAAATCCAGTCCAGGGGGATGGGGGGAGGATTATAAAAGAAAGAAATCTTTTTTAGACCCTGTCTTTGCAAAACCAAAAGAAGTCCTTTTGATTTTTATGTGTTAACACTATGAGAGAATAGATTTATTTCACATTTGTAGATTTGTATGTCTATATACATGGTCACATACAGAAAGGCCCTCAGGCAGCCTACTGGCAGGGAGGGGAGAAAGGACACCACAATCTCCATGAACCATTGTGCCCTTGAACCATGAGCACATGCAGAGTATGCTGTGCTGTGTGTCAAAAAAGAACATGGTCTAAGGAGACTGAGGCCAACCTGAACAACATGGCAAAAACCTCCATCTCAAAAAAAAAAAAGTTTTTAATTTTTAAAAAAAATCTGTGAAAACAAACACGGGGCTTGGGGGGTAGTCCAATAGTAGAGCAACTGCCTAGTGTGCAGGAGGACCTGAGTTCCATCCCCAGCACCCCAAAAAGTAAGCACAGTCATCTGTTCTCCTGTCTTACCTGAAAAGAAGAAATACTGTTGAGTGTTGGGCTAGGAAACAAAGACCAATTCTTTCCCTCAATTTCCAAGACCCGGTTTTCCTTCCTCTAACCAAGAACCCCCAATTTTTCTAGGGCCAAAACGTGGGTGGGGTCCAGAAAGGGAAAGGGTAAGTTACTTCTCACCAAATTCTGGAAAGAGAGGAGGTGGGAATGGGGGGTTCGGATGCCCTGACCCTATGTAGCTAGCGTCTCTGTCCACTTGCTCAGGCCCCTCTTCCCATGCAGCCTCCAGGGTTAGGAGCTCAGCAGGGGTAGAGGGTTAGCTAGGTAGACCACAGTTAGTAGGTCAGCTTAGTTGCAGCATAGTCAAGTCTGGCTTGGCCCTTGGAGCATCCAGGGCTGCAGGCTGAAGGGGCAATGAGGAAGCCATCCTCAGGTGAGCTGGGATCCCAGGAGCCCCTCCCCCCATCCACTCTCTAAGAACTCCGCCGCCAGCGCAAAGTCAAACTCATGCAGCGGGGGCCCGTCCACGGCGATCTTCACCACGTGGCCTCCCCGGCCTTCCCCGGTCCCGCTCTGTCCCCACCATCGCAGCTCACGACTGCGGCCGACCTTGTCCAGGAGGCCGGCGCCCGCGGGCAGAGATAAAGCCAAAGCGGCCAGGGCAGCGAAGTCAGGAAAAAGCTCGTGCAGCTCCGAGTGCTCGCAAGCCAGCTTGGTGCACAGCGCCCGCGGGCTGAGCCGCCCCAGGCTGAACACCACGCGCTTGAAGAGAGCGAAGTCGCCCAGCGCGCGCTGGCGCACCACCGCAGGCGCGAAGCCGCGCAGCAGCACCCGCAGCGCCCCCTCGCCGTGCGCACCCAACTCTTCCGGGGCCTGCGGATAGCGGCGGGGGTCAAAGATCGCGGCAAAGGCAGCCACGGCATCCAGCGAGGGCCCAGGATAGGAGTCTCGCAGCCCCCTCTGCATGGAGTCCAGAAAGGCTCCCTGCAGCCGCTCCAAGTCCCTGATCGCGGCCTCTGAGTAGCCGACCAGCTCCACGCTGCGGTAGGCGCAGCGCCCACCGCCCCGGTCGGGGTCTGAGAGTGCCAGTTCCCGCAGGAAGCCCTGGAGACGGGCTCCCCCTGAGCAGCGCTGGGCTTGGAGGGAAGCTGCTGCCGCCATCACCATGGGCTGCAACAAGGCCAGGTCCGGCTCTTCCGGCTGCAGGATGAGGGTGAGCTTCTGCACCGAGGGCAGAGCGTCCAGCAGCAGGTGGGTGAAGGCTACGAAGGTGAACTGGCGCAGGGCCAGAGCCAGGGCTGCAGCTGTCGGTGAGGCTAGGGCTGCGGCTTCCAGGGTGGACACCAGGCAAGGCCAGGCCTCTGCCACTGCTTCCACAACAGGCAACAGGGAGGCCCAGGGCACTGGCCTTGGCCCTGCCAAGTCAATTGCTGCAAAGTCCAGTGCTGCGCGGAGCTCAGGAACCATGTGAGAACTGGGGCCACCGTGCAGGCGGAATAGGGCATCCAGTATGCTCTCATATTCACCCAGGTAGGCAGGGGGTTCAGGATCTGTCCTACCAGGGAGGCAGTGCAGCTCCGTGAGCAGTGGGCAGGTAGCCTGGAGCTGCAGGCTGACACTCCCTAGGCGGTCACTGGGGACGCTTGAGCTGAGCCAGGCTAGCTTGGGTGCAGATACTCCGAAGGCCTGCAGGATGTCCAAGAGCTGACCAGCAGTGGCCCTGCCCTCCTGTAGTTCCACACTGCCCAGGAAGGTGGTAGAAGGCTGGCCATCACATGGGGATACGGAAGTGGCAAACAGGGCTAGACTGTGGGATTCAGACCAGTCCCTGGTCTCATCTAACACCAGCCCCACAAATGGGGATGCCTTCAGGCGCTGGCAGGCCTCTGTGTGCAAGACACTGGCAATGGCCACCTGGGACAGTCAGGGAGAGAAAGGGAGGGAGGACAGTTAGGTTTGTCCGGAGAGGGAGGTAGGCAATGCAGGGTAGTGGAAAGAGCACAGTTCTTGGAGTCAGACAGACTTAGGACTAATCTTGGCCTTGCCACGCACTCACTGTGTGCTACCTTGGGAAAGTCCCTTCACCACTCTGAAATTCAATCTTCTCAGCTGTAATACTTGGTCTCAGCTAATATCTGCCCCCAGTCTTTATAAAGGGTTTTCATGATTTATAAATGTAAATTTTCATTATTGCTCTCATAAATTTAAAAGTTCTTTATGATCTATAAAGCGCTCTAAGAAGGCTAGTTTTTTTCCTTTTGTTTTTCTGCACATGGTCCCAGTCTACCTTATTACTGGGAGTCTCCTTCCACTGTTCATCTCAGAGATTAGCAATAGACACGTTCACTAGCAACTCCTGACTTTATAGAGTGCCAGCTGGGTGCTGTTCGCCAACTTTCTATAAGATGATATGCAACTCCCCTACTCCCTAGCCAGCCCCCCAGGATTCACACAGCTGAACCTAGGACACAGCTGCAACTTGTAAGCCTCCAGGGGCCATGTGAGTATGTTTGAGCTTGAAGTGGGCCAGGGGCAAGCCAAAGGGAAAGGGGAAATGATGGCAAGCCCATGCCTTGCCCTGAGAGCATGGGGACTTCACTTTTTAGTAGAAGCCACAGATCTAGATCTTTACATTCATCTCTTGGATGTTAACACTTTTTGTTTTTTGAAAACAGGGTGAGCTGGATATAGTGACCCACGCCTATAATCCTAGTGATTTGGGAGGCAAAGACAGGAGGATATCAAATTCAAAGCCAGCCTCAGGAACTTAGCAAGGCCCTAAGCAATTTAGGGAGACCCTGTCTCAAAACTAAATAAATAAATAAATAGGGTTAGAGATGTGGCTCAGTGGTCAAATACCCCTGGGTTCAATCCCCAGTACCCCCACCCCCAAAAGTTGAAAACCGATAAACCCATCTATGGGCCAATCAAGCCCCCAAGCTGCCAGGTTGCCTCCTCTGGCTAGCTAGTGAGAGGAGTGCCCCGTGTGCAAGGCCAGCCTGGCCTCTCACTCTTGTACCCCCTGCTGGCCCAGTGCCAGCCTGTGGTAGGCCCCCAGTGAAGCTTCTAAAGTATGTAGACAGGAGTGAAGTGCCTGGCTGTTCCACAAGGGCCTAGCATGCTGGGGCTGCTCCCAAGTGGCTCAGTGTCCTCCCTCCCCACTCCCAGACCCTCTGACTGCCACCCACCTGCATGTCCCTCACTCTCCTGGGGCTGTAGTAATTGCCGTGCTCTGTGCCTAGCAACGCTTGGCACAGGTTGAATCTCTGCAGCTCGAGCAGGGCAGAGCAGCGGTCGTCGGGCACATCCTCCTTGGCCATGCAGTACACAGTGGTCAGCACCGCCACTTTGGCAGAGTCCACCTCTACCTTGACATCCCTGGAGGTGGGGGTGGCAGCCAGGCTGCTGTAGGCCCCACCTCCCTCCACAGGGCCCTCGAAAGTGGGCTGGCCCTGGTTGACTGTCAGAGCCTGGCGGTGGGCCCCCGAGGTGACGTGGCGCAGCAGGGCATGACGCTGGAAGTTGTCGGTGCCCACGGTGAAGGCGTTCTCAGCTTTGCCGTGCTTGTTTCGTACCAGGGCCTGGCGACACTCGAGGCAAAACATCAGCTTCCGCTCATAGTCAAAGTCCAGCCAGGGAAACTCCTCCTTCCAGTGCTCATTGAAGTAACGCTTGCACTTCTTGTTGGAGTTGGAGGCCTCTCCTGCTGGCTTCTTCCCCGGGGGCACCATTCCTACTCTAGGGGCAGGGGACCCCCAACCCCCACCCAAATGCTTGTGCCTCCTCCCTCCCCAACCACACAGACACCTCCCTTGACAGGGGAGCTGGTGTGGAGAGGAGGGGGCAGCCCACCAGGCTAAGGGGCACCATCCATCTAACTTAGCCTGGAAAGTTTATTCCTGCTCTGCCGGTGGGAGACTGGAGATGAAAAAGACAAGGGAGAGGTGTTAGGGGGACCGTCATGGTGGGAGCAGATTCCGGTGGGGTGGTGGGGTTCATCCTGCCCAGAGTCCTCCCAGGCTGAGGGGTGGACTGGACTCAATGGGGCAGGGGCTTTGGGGAGTATGCACTCATACCAAAGGCCAACGTCAGGGAGGTACAGGCCCCCAATCCCCTCCAAAGTCCTTCCATCCAGGACACGCTATAGTTTGGCTTTGACAGCTGCAGCATCTCAGAACTCAGAGCCACCATCTATGCAATCACATGTTATAGGACATTTTTAGGGGAAATTGAGTCCCAGAGACAGAATGATTCTTAGGGTTCATGAGTAGTTCACGGCTGAACCAGGATTACAATGCAGACCTCGTGACTCCTAGCCCAAAGGATGACCAGTCCCCTGCAGCCCACAGCTACCTAGCTCATCAGAAGAAGGTCAGAACAGGATTTTCTCTGGTACTCCCATTCCTGCACACATGCAAGTGTACACACACACACACACACACACCCCAGCAGTGATTCTAGAACAGTAGCCTAGACCTGTGGCTGCTTGGGAGGCTAAGCCCCAGAGTGAAGGTAGCTAGCTTGTGACCTTGCCCCAGGCATGAATCCAGGATAAGCCATTTGGGATCAGAAGGTCATGTCCAGCCACCAACCAAACCAGCCAACTCCAACTCCTAATGATCTCAAATCTAACGATCTCGATGGCTGAGAGAGGGAGGTAGGCAGTGCAGGATGGTTAGACTCAGGGACTAATCCTAGCCTCGCAGTTTACGGTGTGACTATAAGCAGTAACTACCACTCACAGTGTGAATTGAGCCGGGTCCTGTGCAGAGTACTTTACAGTGATTCCTGAAGAGGATCAAGATTACTCTCTGTGGGTAAAGAAATTGAGGCTCCATGACTAAGTGATCTATCTCAGGTTTTGCAAACACTAAGTAGCTGAGGCAGAATTGGAACTCAAGTCCTCCTGAACCTAAAGGCCATCCTGAGCTCCTGGGCTGCACCACCTTCTGCTTCCCATCTTTCCAGCCTCAGCCCAGTTCAGGCCCCACTAGCTCATGTGGATTACAGCTGCAGCCTTCTTCTCTCTGCTGTTATTCCCCTCACACTTGACACTCACCCCACAGCCTGAGAAAGAAAGCTCAGGCACAGATCTACCTGTCACTCCCTTGCTTCTTCTTCGGTGGTACCCCATTGCCTAAATCTGTGCACCTCACCAGGGGCCAACAAGACCCTCCACAGCCTCTGGATACCTCTAGAGCCACCTAGAGGTTCCCATCTGCAAAGCCAATTCCAAAAAAGCCATTCTCCACTTATGCAGAACTGGTACTTTTGTCCCTGTCTATCCTCTGAGCCTCCTTTTCCTGGCTAGTTGCCACTCCTGCTTTGAAAGCAGCCCAGGCATCCCCCCTGTCTTCCTGATGCCCCCAGCTGGGCTGGCACCTGTCTTCTAGTCTCCTGCAGTTCCCTATGGTAAATGCAGGGATTCTCCACGCATGACTGCACTTGGGTTCCTAGAAAGTCAAGACCAAGTTTGTTCATTTTTTTGTATCTCTAAGTACTTAGGTGCAGATGCCTCACAGTAAAAGCTGATGGCTTAAAACAACTACAGAATTGGGTGCAGCGGCGCAAGACTGTGATCCCAGGTACTCAGGAGGCAGAGGCAGAAGGACCTTGAGTTGGAGGCCAGTGTAGGCAACCTAGCAAGACCCCCCGACTCAAAAAGAAACACATAAAAGAACAAAAGGATTTGTTATGGTTTCATGGAAGAACTACCTGTGTCTGAGACTGCTGATTAGAAGAACCTAAGCTCTGAGATATCACTAAATGACCATCTTGTCCATTTGCTGTGTGCCAAGTCCTGCATGCCAACTGGCACATGGGGAATACATGTGGTGAGTAGGTCAAACAAGAGCAGAGGAGCAGAATTCCAGGGGCAGCCCACTCTGTGTCACCAGGTGCAGGGGAAGTCCCTGGTCTTCTTCCCCTGTACTCTGAGTGGCATTTGGTGCTTCTCACTATGCCCTCCTTGAAACATTCTAATATTCTTCTTCTTTTGTACTGGGATTGAAATCAGGAGAACTGTACCGCTGAGCTACATCTCCAGCCCTTTTTTGAGACAGGGTCTCACAAGTTGCTGAGGCTGGCCTCAAACCTGTGATCTTTCGGCCTCAGCCTCCTGACTCATTGGGATTACAGCTCTGTGCCACCACTTGCCTTCCAAGACCCCACATACCCTGGTTTCCCTTCCCACTATGAGCCACTCCTTGGCCTCTGGAGTTCATTTCTTCATCCTCTTCCCAAGCTCAAACTATCTAAAGGTTTTAGAACCACCTCTGTGGACCACTCTGAAATAGACAGCCCCAGCCTGGTCCCAAAGCCCCTCCCTCTAGCTGCCTTCTTGGCTTATCTACATAGAACTCTTGATTGATCTTCACAAATATGCCCCTGTCTCAGTCATTTCAATCTCAAAAAATAGCCCCTTTTCCTTTCCAGGTGCTCTGGCCAGAAACCTGCAGTTCTGACCCCACCTCTCTCCCAGTCCAGGGCCTGGTCCACCAACAGGATCTGTAGATCCCACCTCCAAAATCTACCTCAATTGCATGCCTTCTCTCCATGGTATTGCCTGGTGGCCTTGTTCTGCCCACCTTCATCTCCTGCCTGGACTAATATAGTCACTGTCTGAGAGCATTCTGGGTTTCCATCCTTATTCTTCTCTGACCAAGGGGACTTTTTTTCCCCCGCTTTGGTACCAGGGATCAAACTCAGGGTCACTTAACCACTGAGACACATCCTCAACCCTTTTTATTCTGAGACAGGGTCTTGCTAAGTTGCTTAAGGCTTTGCTGACTTGCTGAGGCAGGCCTTGAACTTGCTCCTCCCTCAGCCTCCAGAGTCTCTGGGATGACAGGCGACCACCACCATGCCCAGCCCAGGGGGACTTTTAAAAACGTATTGCTTAGGCCAAATGTGGTGGTGCACACCTGTAATTCTAGCAACTAGGGAGGATGAGGCAGGAGGACTGCAACTTCAAAGCCAGCTGTAGCTGTAGCAACTTAGTGAAACCCTGTCTCAAAAAATGAAAAGGGCTGGGGATAGAGCTCAGCCAGAGAGTCCCCCTGGGTTCAGTCCCTAGTACCACCACCAAACAAACAAACGTACACCTTAAATCTCTCCAAGGCTGCCTGCTGCTCTGAGGTCAAGTGCCCAAATTCCTTTGCAGTCTGTTAATGCCCAGCATTGCTGACCCCACTGGTGGCCACTCATCCCCAGTTGCACACATGCCCAAATGTTCCCACCCTTCCTATGACATTTTACCTGGCTTCCTGCAGTTTACAAAGCTCTGCTTACTTCTGCATAGTTCTGTGGCTTCACATCCCTTCCTTTCCTCCTCGGCCCCCTCGCTCCTCTCACACACACTCCTCGTGGGCTGGAAAGGTAGCTAACTTCTTCTTGTGAACAGTGCCATGCCCAGCAGGCATGCCACAAAATTTGAGGGGTGAAAGAATAAGGAAGAGCAAGCTTCAGACAGAGCAGTGCAGTGGGACCTTGGACCCCTGCTGTGTGGTTAAAATAGCTGCTTTTGATATGCTTTCCTCCTAAGAGGCCGTGATTCTATGACCTTGCACAGCCCAATGCGCAAAGGATCTTAGAATGGGGGAGGGGTGCAGGACCACTAAGACCTTCTGGAAGTTTCTCAGATCCTTTCTATGTACTTGGAAGCCAGCTATCCCATCCTGTTCTGCAGAGGGATAAATGATATGATCTAGGATGTTTTGATGAAAGAACCAAAGAGCAGGCAGCTGGAAGCCTGGAACGTGGAGATTCTAAAACTGCACTTCCCAGTACAGCGGCCACTTAGTCACATGTAACTGTTTAATTGGAATTAAATTAAAAAAATTTAAATTCAATTGACACTAGCCATATTTCAGGCACTTAGTAGCTACATGTGGCTAGTGACTATTGGACTGGACGGCACAGGTAGAGGGAACATTTACATCATGCCCTATAAGTTCTATAGGGCACAGCTGCTCTAAAAACATATTTAAAAAAAAAATTCATTGACATTACCCCCACCTCAGGGCTGAGGGAACCAGGCTACCAGGGGTAGGGTGTAAATAAAACATTACTGTGTGTGTCCAGTTGTGAGTAAGGCTGACCAGGTGGGAGTCCTTGTGTGGTCCCAGATCCTGCATCTCCACACCGGGCAGGGTAGATGGGAACCAGCCCGAGGTTCCCTTAGGGCAGTTGTGTTGGTCTGCTCCCCCAGACACAGTAAGCCTCAAACCCCAAACTGATGTGCCCCCAGGATGGAGGTCCCTGGCCTCCTCCTCGGGCTCCTATGGGCCCTTTCATGGGACCCCACCAAGTGAAGTCCACACTTTGAGCAGAGTAGGGACCAGGTGAGGTGCAGCTCCCTTGCACGCCTCACCCATCCTATGGGATGCAAAGCGCTGGGGGACTTCCTCTGGGGAATGCCTCGGTTGGGTCCCCAGAGACCCTGCTTCCACCTGCCCGCCCCCGCCCGCCACAAGGCCCCCAGTCCCGGCTGGTCCGCCCCCTGCCTGGAAGGTCCGGGAGGGGGCGCCGGCCCAGCACCCCTGCGCCGCCCGCACACACTCACAGAGACACGGGAGCCACCATCTTGGGCGGTGGACGCTCTGGCCGTGGTCTCCTTGGGCTCCACTGAGCGACAGCAGCCACTAGCGGTAACCGGGGCGAAGAGGCTCCAGCAGCCGGCGCGGCCTGGAATGCGAGCAGGGAGGCGGCGCCCCCCGGGCTCACCTGGCTGCGCCCACCTGCCGCAGCTCCCAGCCAGCGCGCTCAGCTTCGCCTCGGCCTCCTCCCACTACGCGCGCTGGAGCAGGAGCTACTGAGGTCAGACCGCAAGAAGACGAAGGGACAGGAGTCCGTTCAGTCATCGCGTCCACCCGTGGGTTTCTAGAGGAGCTCACCGGCAAGACACGGGAAAAGCTGTGCCGGCTGCAGTCAGCCCCGTGCTCAAAGTTTGGGACCAAGAGCTCTGAGATCCACCCGGCGGGGTGTAATCCCACCTGTAATCCCAGCAACTAGGGAAGCTGAGACAGGAGGATCACAAATTTGAGGCGATCAAACCTCAGCAAATTAGTGACACCCTGTCTCAAAATTAAAAAGACTGGGGATATAGCTCAGTGGTAGCGAACCCTGGGCTCACTTCCCAGTACCGGGGAGCCGGGAGGGTTCTAGGATCAGAGAAGCAGGCCATAAAACTGAAGGTCTGCAAGGAGAGTCTATTAGGTTTCAGAGCAGAAAAGTGAAGTTTTACAAGAAGAAGAGAAATTTACATGGGGAAGGGCGTTCTAGGAAGGAAGATGACAAAGCAAGGTTCCATCAATGGGTCAGCAACTTGAAAGGTCACCGCAGTTCCAAAAGCTCCAGACAAAACAGGCATGGCAGGGAGAAGGGGCAGAATGCCTAATGTTGGAAGGCGTTGCTCACAGGGAAACCTGGGGATTTGGGCCTTTATCTCCCCAGGGATCCCGCAGGAGGTGTCTAGGCTCAATGGGAAGCTGTTTCTAATGAGATCCTTGTAAGGGGAAGACATTAGTGGGGAAAAGAGGGAGGTCAGGAGGTCTGAGTGACCTCTTCCTAGAGTTCTCAGGTGCACAGGGTGCCCTCCCCTGTCTGGGGTCCTCCAGATGTGAAAGGGGTAGAGGAGTGGGTTCCCTGCAGGAAGAATAAGGGGTTGTGGTACCCCAACCCTCCCAGAAGTCTGGGACAGCTCCAATTATATTGAGCTGTGCAGTGGATGCTTAGCTAGGAGCTGCCCATCTGTGATGAGGGAAGGAGGAAGGGCAGAACAGGAATAGGTCTGGAGACCACAGAAGGGGCTGGGTGTGGAGGCAATTGAGGAGGGGTGTTGATCAAGGAGGTGCCAATGCACTTGGCAACTCAATCTCTTCTTCCAGTCAGCAGAGTCCCCCAGAAGTGCCTTCCAGCCCCCCGAACCATAATTGCTCTCCTGCACAAGGGCTAGGGTGCAAGTTGCATCAAGGCCTGGGCCCCTCCAGTAGCTACTGGGCACTGTTCCCCAGTACCCTTCATACAGCACTGCTCCACCACCCACTGTCTGCCTCTGACAGTCAGCATTATTATCCCTGTCCTCCCGGGCCTCTGGGATGGAGCATGAGCCATGGCACATGGACACACACGTGTGGCTGCCTGGCTCTTGGCTACACTCAAATGAAGGGAGCTGCCACTGTCACCACACCTGCCCCAGGATGGCACACTACATGGCTGACAGGTCTAGACTCTGCACCCCAAAAAACATTGGAATGGAGGCTCTTCTCTGATAGCATTTTGCAGCAGAACAGATAGCCTGGCTAAGTGTTTCAGAGCAGTCCCTCCCCAACCCTGGCCAGGGGTCCACAGCCAGGAGCTACAGATCACTGGACAGCTGCCTGAGGAGGGTGGATTGCTGGCTCTGGTCACAGATGGAACAAACCAGCCTGACATGGAGGAATGGAGGCTGCCCCAGGGCTCCACCAAAGGCTGGGGTAGGGGCACAGAGCAGGTGTCTTATGAAATAACATCAGCCTGGCTGCCACCCAACAGAGAGGATCTAGGGAAACCACATCCTGCTGTTGTGCCATAACTAGAAAAGACACACACACACACACACACACACACACACACACACACGCAGGGACACACTCCCTGAGGACCACAGGCACCCACACAGAGCAGTAGGCACAGACAGCAAGGCACACACAAACATACGTCTCCCCACAGGGAGACCAAGTCTTTCATTGGCAACACCCTACACCCTGGAGTGTGTGGGCATGGAGGTGGTGCCCATGCAGAGAAACTTACCCTCGGAGGCCACAAGGGAGCATGCATGTAGACACAGACACAGTCAACAAAGACATACTTGTACATAAGCACACCCAGAGGGGCAGATACACAGACCCCTACAGATGCATCTGTATATCTGTGTACAAAGCACACAAACATGCATACACATGGGTTCCTAGACAGATACATTTGCCCAGAGACAGGTGGGTGCAAGCACTCTTATGAATCACATGCTTCTGACGTCAGATCATATAGCGGAACACGGCATGTCTCCCACTCCTCTCACCCCCACCCCAAGTTACAGGGCACATGACAGGGTCCTCCCAGAGGCACACACATGTGCCCCCCACACACACATAGCAAATTATAATGTTGCTGTTTCCATCAAATCAAATCTGCAAAGAAAAATGGGAATCTAGGGGAGAGAGAGCCAAAGGCAAGGGTGGGAGAAGGACCAAGATCTACTGCACACTGCCTGGTAGGATTCTCATCATGGCCTGGGGTTCCTTCCCACGTTCTCCCACCCCTGGGGCTCTGGGGCTCTGGATATGTAATGCCCAGCCCCTCAAGCTGGAGTAAAATCCCAAAGCCCAGGCACAGAGATGCTGCCCCCAGCCCCACTGTCTCCGGGCCCTTTCCCTGGAGGGGTGATGGCTGTCTCCCTGGACAATGTCCAGGCAACCCCCAGTGTGGGAAGGCAAATGGGGAGATCACAGATGGGGGGGCAGTCAATCCCAGTGCTGGGCAGGCTGTCCAGTAGCAGCCCCTGAAACCAGCCCCAGCCTCTCTGTCTGCAGGGCTGTCTCCTCCTCTGAAGCAGTTACAGCTCCCTCTTTAGCCCCCTCCAATCTGTCCTCCTCCCCTATCCCCTTAGAGGCATTGAAAGTGTGATTCCATACCAAAAAAAACCCTTTGACCCAGGCTCCCCGACTGCATTTGCCCAGATGTGCAGGGACCTGAAGTCCTGTAGGGTATCTCCAGCTCTCCCTGTCCCCTCCCTCCAACCTTATTCTCAACCAGAGGGGGGCTACCAGCCCAGCCCTGAACCTAACTGGCTACGGTGTCTCAGGCAGACAACTTTGGGGGACCAGAAGTAGAAGGGAAAGGATAGGGCTGAGGAGGGTGGGAAACCCTGGCCTCTAAGCTTCTAATCCCTGTTCCCACTCCCCAGGCCAGCCATCCTCAGCACTCACCCAAGAGCATTCTCAGCCTTTGGAGGCACCGCAGCTGAGCGCCTAGCAGGAGCAAATGAAACCCAGCCAGAGTGACAGAGGGAAGGGGGATGTGAGGGACAGAAGGGGAGGGCGCGGAGGGAGGGACTCCTGGTCCTGGCTGGAAAGCTGCATCATTACTGGGCCCTGGCCCCCCTTGCCAGGAAGGAGCTGCCCATTCCTTGGTGGCCCCCATCCCAACTGCAGGTGGCGTGAGCAGAGTACGTCCTTCCCCAAGGGTGGAAATGTGGGGCGAGAGGAGAACTCAGACACGGGAGAGGGTGTCAGCGGGTGTCCACTCACCATCCCCCTCTCCTGCTCCCAGAGGGACCCTGCCTAGCACCTCTTCCACTGAAGTGAAGGGTTGACCTTGTCCACAGAGACCTCAGGGACAAAGGTTCCGAGGCCACTTTGCCTGCTGGAAGGTTCTATCCCTGCTCCTTCAGGGATGCTGTAGGAGCCCCGACACTCTGCCCAGCTGTATCCATCCCCTTCTGGCCATTTATCTGCTTCTGCTGAAGGAGGAAACTGAGGCTTAGGGGAGGGTTACCACTTTGTCACAGAGCACTGACCGTGGGGTAGGGGGACCAGTGGAGCCCCTTTGGATGTACTGCTTGGACCATGTCTGGAAGGGAGGTCGGTCACCTGATCAACCAGAATCTGTGACACCCCTCCCTGGCCCACACACCCCTCCCTAGTCTCTTCTCTCCTTTTGCTCCTTCCTCCCCCTCCTCTTGCTGAAAGGTGGCTCTCGACTCACCTGAGCACCTGGTGGCAGGGCAGGGGGGGCGGAGGGGGAAGAGCAGCCGGCCAACCCACAGCTGGATCCAGTCTCGCATTCCAAACCCAGTCTGTGCTGGCCCCCACCCCCTCAGCATCCTGTCTCCACCAGACAATAACCTGTAATCTTGGGAGCAGCCAATGCCCAGACCACAAAGCAGGTCTGGGGAGGGGCTGGCAGCAGCAGCTCCAGAAAACAGGTTTGTTCGGAAGGGGCTCTGGGGGAAGGAGTTGTTTATGTGGGGAGAGGAAAGAAACTCAAGCCCCGAGCTAATTAACCCACCCAGAGATACAGATGGAATCTTTGTCTTCTTTGAGGGCAGGGATCTGAGCTAAGCCCCCTAATTCTCTACCCAGACAGCCTTGCCTTTCCTGGTGGTCTGGGGGAGGGTGCTGATGGTCAGGGTCATACCTGGGGGAGGGAATGTGATGGAAGTCCAGGAGTCCAGGGAGAGCCCAGGGCACCTGTCACCTGCCATCAAAGAAGGATGCAGCAGGAGGCACTGGTTAGACTGCAAGAACTTCTCAGTGGCTCCCTGGGAGGAGCACAGTTTCTTTAACGGTTGCACCCAAGGAGCCGCAGGATGGGGGGGGGTCAATAAGGGGGGAGCCAGCAATCCAGGGAGATGCCAAAGGATGGGGGCAGGCTAGAGGGCTTCCGGGGCCTCCTGATGGGACTGAAATTAACCCATCTGTGGGGAGC